CATTCCCTGTTAAAGGAAAATCCCTATCAGTAACTACAAATTAGACATCTTGTGGCATAGGACACAGAGCATTTAGACAAAGATGATGAGAAGAATGGCTATCCCATAATTCACAAAGTGTCTGTAAAACATATATAGGAATTGAAAGATTTTTGCTCCACAGACTATGACACTCTCTGTTTCTTTTGGTTGTAAGTAACATATATAACTTCAAAAGTATCTGGACACAATTTAGTCAAGAGGAACTGTGTTGTTATCCTATCTCCAAAGGGAAGAGTTCTTTTCACTAGGGAAGGATTTGACACAACTTTGAGCAAGGCTTTGGATGAGATAGTGCTGTGCTTCCAATTTCTTGGCATCTTCCTGCCTAAAAAAAGGTACAAGCTCTCAACTGAAGTATAATTCTCCCATTTCCTGGGCTGATATGCCAAAATTTTATTTCACCAAGCCATACCTGTATTTCTAAGCATTCATGTTCAATATAATACAGAGAAGCTGTAGCGGCTTGGGTTACTGCTAATATTAAAGAGACAGATTTAGAGCTAACTAACATAAGTGGAAGTACACTAAGAACTCATCTGCCTTTAAAGATCACATTTATTGGAAAGCCTCCAAAAAGGAGGAAGCCCCAAGAAGACTGAGCAGCCACTGAGAATGATTGATACACTGTCCACATGTGGTAAATGAATTGTGAATTTAATTAGATTGCCCCTGTATCACCACGGATACTACAGTGACTTGACAGAAGACCATAAACTCCCCAAGGAGGTACAAAAGAAAACCCTCTCATTGCCATTTACCACAGAAGGAACTGACAGCATTATATTGGATCAGCCCAGCCCAAGGCTGTGATCTAGCTGGACGTTATGCGTACATGAGACTTTCATACCACCAGGTAGGATCCGCTTGCACTCCTATATCCAGCAGAGGTACAAACAGTTCTCAGGATAAGAGCCAAAGGCGACAGAAGTTCAAGCCCATTCTAGCTGCCATTCAAGGGAAAGTCATGCAGAAAATGAACTGCTCTAACAATAGTATTAAGGGAGAATTTTGTTTTCCCAAGTTCAGCTACCAAAAGTGGGCTTTAAGGCAGCATGAAGAGCACAAGGGTTTAAAAATAAAAACAAAAAAAAAAACCATGCTTAATCCCATTTTAAAGTAAATTTTATAGGTTTGGGGAAATTATAATCTGTTCTCTTACAGGGCTTACAGGAGAAAAACGCAAATCTTCCCTAACCCCCCCCCCCACATACACACACACGCATGAGTACACATAACACAGGAGAGCTATTTTTGCTCTCACTCAATGTAAAGAGGGTGGGAAAGCCAAGCAAAATTAAAGCAGGTTTTTCTGGCTAAGAGTCATCAGCAGGCTTTTAATTTTATGGCACGTTTTCAAAATTGGCTCTTCATGTCCAGACCAACTTTATGGCTGGAAATGTTTATTACAGCAGAATAAAATGACACTACCTAATTGCTACAGGAAGGAGCAATGACTTTTCTTTTCTCATGCTGAAATGGATCAATGGGAAAATCTCCGCCCCACATCTCTCCCCTTGGAGTAGTGCTGAGTACAACTGCGGCATGAGCACGCTAGTGTGCCATAGGAAAGCCAGGCTCAATTGCTCACTCAACCCAGAAAGCTCACTGGGTAGCCTTCGCCATGTCACTGTTATCTCAACGGTTGCAGAATTTGGGTCTCAATGAGCCTGGGCCTTTCTGTTTTTCTGTGCTTTGTTGGTTTTGCTATAACGGACGTTGGTTTCTTGGTTCAGAAGCCCCATAAGCCTCTGCTCTTTTGCTGGCAGCCAAGGCGTAAAAACTAAAGCCTTGCCCTGTAGATGTACCTTTGCCTGAATTCACATTCCACGGCCTTCCAAGTGACAGGCTCCAAAGCATAAACATATCTGTCTTGGTCTTTTTGACATCGCAGTTAATAATATATCTGGGCTAAAGGCCATACTAGCAAAGGTTCACCTTATCAACTAAGGATGGGCTAGTATTTAGTAAGTTTGGTATCGTTTTAATTGACTCCTCCCTTGATTCCTATTGGATGAAAAGAGGGTTAAAAAGGGCTTTGGGCTTTGTTCAGGGCTGTCTGGCCAACACATCACCTAGGCTTGAGTGATGTCTTGGTACACAGTCCAGGAATCCCTTATTCTTTCTGAAGGTATTAGGTATTGGGATTTTTCTATAAGCTACTGGGTATTGATACTGAATATATGCTATTGAGTTTTACATTTGTAGGTTTTAGAGTTAATAAATACTTCTAGTTTAAGGCAACTGTAATGTGTTTCTCTCCCTCTGGAGGCCTGATTTCCCTAGCCAGACTCCACCCACCCGCAGAAAAGTACCATAAAGGGGTTGGGGATCCCTGGTAGAGCGCTGGACTCCTAAAATTCCCCTACATCTGCTACCTAAGCTATTGAGGAATAGTTACTAAATGGAGCATTCCTGTTCACCATAGTAGGAAGCACATAAATGTGAGAACTAGGATAGCTTTATAGATTTCAGAGACATCCAGGTAAAGCCAAGAGGGTTTTTAAAAGATTTTTAAAAAATCATTTTGGCTTTCAAATCAGTTTGATTAAATAAAGGCAACCATTTCCTCGTCACCTACTTTCACACTTGCCGCAACATTGTTCATCCAGCTCCCTTCCCTCTTTATCCCCTGCCCCTGAACAAAATAGAATGAGATCTTTTGGAAGATAGTCAATAAATAAGTCAATAAATCCATCAGCACTGATGTCCACCATTTTAACCAAACCCAAATAACAATCTTCCCAGTATCAAGATACCAAAAACAACAAAACTGGGGCCAAAATCAGTCCAATAATACACACTTAAACATTAAATATGTATGCTAATACAATCACTTTTATACTTGATAATAGTATCTAAGTATACAAATTATTAACAAGGTATACAACCTAACCATACAATATCCTAATGTTATACAATACTAATATACTAACATACAGTAATATCACAGAATACCAATTGTCTGTCAAAGACAGATCCTGTATGAGAAATCTTCTAAGGAAATAAGGGCTAGTCCCTATATTAAATGTAGCAACTCTTGAGAAGAAAAGTCTTTAGGAACTAGGAAGTAGCATTACACCAGAAGGTAAACTCTTATACAATATAAGCTAACTTGCTTCTGAGGAAGTTAAGAGATGAAACCAAGCACAAGCCGGCTGCTTTGTCAAGCTTTACATTCCTTGTCTGTTAACAGCACATGTTGAAAGTCTACTAGTACTTTTTGGCTGTTAGCAACACACATCCTGGCGACAGCAGTGCAACGCGTATCACTATCCCCCGCAGCAGGGATCCTGTGAAGACGTGCGGATCCCCCGCCAATGCTTGGCAGCCCTAGAGGTAGATTAGGCTGAAAGTGACTGTCTCAGTCACCCAGCAAACTTCCATGGCAGACTGATCTTAAAGTCACCCAGCAAACTTCCATGGCAGACTGGGGATTCCAAACCTTGATTTTTCAGATCCTAGTCTGACACTAACCACTATACCACATTGGCTCTCACCTTCTACTTCTTCCACCCCCACTCCCTGGTGGCCACTTCCTGAGAATAGTCTGGACAAGTTCTCAAAGCCGTGTACTTGTAAGTGGCTCAAGTGAGTTGTGTGGTGGCCACTACTCAACATAGCCAAGTCACATAAGTTGTGTGGAGGCTGTCACTGGAGCCAAGCACCTACGTGAGTCATGCAAATTGCATGGTTGCTAGTTGTCCCATCAGTGTTGCTGGATCTGGTCCAACAGACCATTTACTGACAAAAACCAAGGTTTGAAGGGTTGCAATACTGTTGTGGCTGCCTAGCAAGCTCCACAATGGCCACTGAGATTTCAGATGGCATTCATTTCTTAAACGTAAGCTGTTCCTATTATCTTGGAATGTTTTAACACCCCAGTGTATTTTTTAAGCACACCTGGGGCTTTTCTCAAGTTTCTAAAAAGATCCATCTTGTGTGCTCATGGCTCCAGTCTTTGGATTTAAGTATTGACAGATGGGGCCATGTTGAGAATTAGACATATTAATGTAAAGCAGCTAATATTATACACACACAAACAATGGAATAAAACTGAATTACAAAGCTAGAAAACAATAAGATAAGCAGTACGATACATCCAACAACGCAGTATTTTAAAAACTGCTTAAGTTTTCCTCTGATATGAAAACTACCACCCTCCTGAACAATTCCACTTTACACATTCTGCAGAATAAACTGCACACACCAGTGCATGCTGGAAGCAGTCACATGACCTATCCATACCCTCAAGCTCAAGGTTAGACCAACTGGGAGCGGATGCTCACTGAAGTAGGGTTGCCAGCCCCCCAGTCCGGCAGGGTTCCCCTGGTTTTACAGGCTCCTCCCAATCCACAAATGCCCTGGAACACGACATGATGATGCCACCCAGCAGAGCACTCTAGTTTTTGGGCAAAACTCTATGGTAAATTTGGGCTCAAACCACAGAGTTTTGTCCAAAAACTGGAGTGCTGGTGACATGATGACATCACTTCCAGATGACATTGTCACACTGTGTGCGCAAAAGATCCCACCAAGGCCCAAAGCTCCCTCCTCCAAGAAGGAGGTACGACCTGGCAACCCTGCACTGAAGAAGCAATATGGTTGAACTCCAAATAAGGATAAAATTGCAGACCCAGATTCAGCAAAACACCTCCCAAGAAGGGAGGCAAGAAACTAAGTGATCTACAAGATTTCTGCTGCAAAATATTTGCTTTAACCAATGAGCCAGAATTCCACATTAAATTTCTTTACCATGAGTTGTTGGCATGCCAGTGCCAAATGAAACACAATACAATCAGAGTTGGATGCAGATATGTCTCAACTGGCAGTGACCCGCAGCAGTCTTTTAGTGCACACTAACTTTCAAAACCATATTTACTTTCAAAACCATGTTTATTTTGCAGTCTCTCATCACACAAGGCTTGTGTACAAAAGCAATTAACAAAAATGTTTCTCACCTGAATTCAAAGGCAGAACTGCTCTTTGAGGAGAAGATACTTTGGTTGCATGGATATTTTTACCGTCACTTCCTCTCTTAGAGCAGAATGTCCTCCTGGAATCTGGGATACTTTTTAGGGTGACTGGGGTGTCCTTGGATAAACTTTGCAGTTGTGTTCTCTCTCCTTTAGGTGAGGAAACCTACATCATGTTTAAAAACACAGGATACAAGGATATAGGCGATACCTGTACTCTATATTCTTTGCATTACTATGATGTACGGTGTTTCATGTTACAATGAATACATTGCACAAAGGCCACTGAAGAATAATCTGATCCCACATGAACTCAAAGACAGTCTCAATATGATGCAAAATTCACTGGCTAAATCTTTATTTTAATGACAACCATCTAAATCTTTTTTAACACTGCAGAGCAGCTGTGGTTGTAAGATTTCTAATGCATTACTTCATAACAAAACACCAGAGAGAGAAAACAATAAACCTACACTTAAAATGATCACAAACAATAAAACCATTTACCTTACACAACTTACACAACTTCAAGGAAAGCTATAAAAGGAACAGGGTGCTACTCAACTAAAAAGGTTTCCCTTGCTCAAAAGCCAGTTGAATCCAACTCTAGGGGGTGGTGCTCATCTCCGTTTCCAAGCCGAAGAGCCAGCATTGTCTGAAGACATTTCCGTAGTCATGTGGCCGGCATGACTAAATGCTGAGGCACATGAAACGCTGTTACCTTCCCACCGAACCGGTACCTATTTATCTACTTGCAGTTTCTTGCTTTCAAACTGCTAGGTTGGCAGGAACTGGGGCCAGAGACGGGAGCTCACTCCGTCAGTAGGGTCTCAAACTGCTGAACTACAGACCTTCCGGTCTGCAGCTCAGCGTCTTAACCTCTGAGCCACCATGGCTCAATAAGAATTAAATCAATAAGAATTAAAATAGTTTTTGCACTCTCTTTCATTCATTTGAAACACTTTTATACAGGGTCCAAGATTTAGGGGACCATAATCTCACACACAATGCTAGATCATCTAGGTTTTCAAGAGTGGTATTCATAGCTCAGGTTGTACCTAAAATCACCTCTGGTTCAACCATGGCTTCTTCTCCAAGTAAAAAAGTAAAAGGTAACAAGGCTGGGAAAAATGTTTTGCATTAGGCTTCAAAGGAGACAAGAAGTGGTTCAAGTTCCTCTCATTTCCTCCCCGCAGCCAGAGTCCAATATAAAGTGATAGCAACTCCTCTTCCATGAGTTCTCTACAATCGGGAAGAGTGGAGAACTGGATGTCTACAACAGGGTGGACACCAGAGAAGGTGGAACCATCACTATTGACAATGATTTATGGACTTGTTTATAAAAACTTTTAGTTTTATAGAAAACCAAAATTAACACTACAATTAATGTATACCAGTCTAGGAGACTTGCAGCCCACACCTTCAGAGCTTTGGCACAGTATTTCTACAACTGTAGCGATGGAAAGATAAAACTTGCTTCAAAACATTTGCTATAGACTCCCTAGGAGCTCTCGTTGAAGGCTGCTCTTGTGTAATATCTTAATTGCTGTTCTGAGAGAGGAGGTATTTTTACACAGCTGTCATCTCAATAACCTAACAAAGCCAACATCATCCAAATGCATGGTTTCCTCCTCTGATCTAACAAAATCCCCAGCTTTAGGCTATCGAGATGTCTGATCTAAGAATGTGTTGAACCAGAAGCTAAAATATTTGCACACACCAGATTTAGGAAGTTGACTGGCAAGAAACAGGAAGGTGACTCTGGTCAATTTAGATCAGATGCTCCCAGAGAGAAGCAGTCCAGAAAGTTAGCACCAGTATTCAGAAGTGGTTCATTTGAACCATCTGGCCATTATATCCTGGCTTTTGGCTCAGGACAGGTAACACTCTGAAGTATCGGCACATTTATTGTTTTGTAAAGGCTGTAATATATGGTATAGATGCATCTGCAGGTTTCTCTTAAAGACTTATCATAGAATCACAGAATGTTAGAGTTGGAAGGGACCTTGCAGGTCATCTAGTCCAACCCCCTGCACTCTGCAGGAGCATAGTCGAAAGATAGCCCTAATACCTACATACCTACAACATACCCGAAAGATGGTAGTCCAGCCTCCGCTTGAAAACATCCAGCGAAGGAGCATCCACCACCTCCCGAGGCAGACTGTTCCACTGCTCAACCACTCTTACAGTTAGGAAGTTTCTCCTGATATTTAACCAGTAACGACTCCCTTGTAATTTCCACCCATTAGATCTAGTCTTGCAATCCGGAGCAAGAGAGAATAGATCCCCTCCATCTTCTACATGAAAGCCTTTCAAATACTTGAAGACTGCAATCATGTGCCCTCTAAGCCTTCTCTTTCCCAGGCTAAACATACCCAACTCTTTCAGCCTTTCCTCATAAGACTTGGATTCCAACCCTCTCAACCATCCTGGTTGCCCTCTTCCTGACACGCTCGAGCTTGTCAACATCCTTCCTAAAATGTGGTGCCCAAAACTGGACACAGTACTCCAGGTGAGGCCTGACCATAGCAGAATAGAGCGGAACTACCACCTCCCGTGATCTGGACACAAGGCTTCTGTTAATGCATCCTAAGATTGCGTTAGCTTTCTTCACAGCCACATCGCACTGCAGGCTCATGTTTAGCTTGTGATCAACCAGAACACCTAGATTCCTTTCACATGTAATGCTGTCAAGCCAAGTCCCTCCCATTCTATATCTGTGCCTTTGATTTTTTGTACCTAATTGTAGGACTTTGCACTTATCTCTATTGAAATTCATTTTATTTGTCTCCGCCAACTTAAACTGCATTTAACTGTAGATTATAAGAATTAAGATATTATAGCCAAGTTGCAAACAAAATTTCTTATGCCTTTAATGGACAGAAATATAAAGTCACCAGTAGGCTACATACAAGTGGTAGGTTCCCACTGTAAGGCTAAACAATGAGAAGAGGCTACCTTCAAGGAAATATTTCAACAAATAGCACAAGGCTGTATGATTTTATGGTGTTGCCTCCATCTTAGACTGTGCCACCCAGACTGAGTTTTCTA